TATATATGGTAAATAAAAGTACGATTGGGGAAATACACTTTTATATACTTCAGTATATGTAATGACATGTACTTGAAGTATACTTCTTTTTGGTAAGTTTATAATGTAATGTGCAAATTTCCCAACGGTGGGATCAATAAAGTTTCATCTCATCTCATCTCATCTCATCTCATCTCATCTCATCTCATCTCATCTCATCTCATCTCATCTCATCTCATCTCATCTTATCTTATCTTATCTTGGGTTAGCTTAGGTTAGTTTATCTTATCAACATAAAAAGACATAACAGTAAGGTATACTTTTTATAAATAAAACGTCCCAATTTAGTATGAACAAGTTTTAAATCAATATACTTTCTAGTACACTACAGGTACATGGTTCCTAGTGTACTTGATATACTTAAACTTATACTCAAGTATACTTATTAAAAATGAACTTCAAGTATACTACTTTTTGCTAAGTGGAAGCATGTATTTTATAAATGCTACCAAATATTAAGCAATTTCTTTCTCCCTTCTTAAAATCAGCATTGCTCTTGTGAGAATCCTGAACTGACCCTATTGCTTCATGAAGTTTTACCCGCAGCCTACTTCACACTCGTGCCAGGGCTTTGTCATTGTAAACCAGGCCTGTGGCGAGCTAGTTAAACATTGAGACGGCTCAGTGTTAGCTTGGCTCTGCGTTCAGCTTGTCCTGTGTAGATTTACAGCTGGCGGAGCTGGTGAATATTGGATGGGAGGCCCATCACTAAGCCAGACTGACACCTCGTCAGGCTCTTTGTTGAGCACAGGGATGGAATTTCATCCCCTCGGAGGAGCAGCAAATCACTGCCAGTAACGGAGACTCTGCTGGGCCTGCTTCACCTGAGTTTACCTGGTGTTGTGAACTCCTTACCCGACCAAAACACGAGCTCGCCACGTCATCGGACAGCTTGTGTTATTAATAACGCCATCAGGGATGAAGCGAGTTGAAAAAATATGCTCTGGTATGCGGCAGCGGTAATATCGTTCCTGAGTTACAGTTCTGCATGTGTGACACATTATTTGAGGAAACCTCGGAGCTGCCGAGCCGTGCGCTGAACCTGCAGAAGTGGAATCCTGAGCACATGTAGGAAGAGCAGACTTGCACGAGAAAAAACTGAGCCGCAAACGCTCACATGAGCAGGAAAGAGTGAGAAAAGTGCTGCTTCTACAGGAAACCATTAGGACTAAGTAAAGTCTTTGTGCACAAAGTCTTTTCAAAGGGACTTCCTACATAAGGAACAGACTTAACAAGTGAGCTGTGCTCTTTTTTTTCCTTGAAAGAGAGTCACACAAGCAGATCAGTGATTCTCTGACAAGTTTTAATTGGCCTCTTATCCTGTCAAAACCACAAAACTAAAGTCTTTGTTTTGGTTTTTTGGGTTTGCTGGGTCTTTTTGAAGAATTTCCTTTCACATACGACTAAAAATATGTTTTATCTTGTTTAATTTTGACGCAATAGCTTTAAAAGATTAAGAAACAATTGAAACGTTCATAAGTATAAGAAATGTGGACATAAATTTTAATCTCAAAAGTTTTTCTTTTTTTAGTTTTGAACATGTCACTAAATGACTCCAACAAATTTAGTTTCAGTTTTATCAGCTTCCTCTTTATTTTGTTCTTGCACTGCTGAGTGCACAGCACGAACGTTCAATGAATTAGGATAACAAGTCATTTTCATTGCTCCACAATGTTTACTAAAGAGCGTTGAGGTTTGGAATCAATTAGGATTGGTTTTCCTCGAGTCCATTTACTTTAGGACCGAGCCGGGCCTGCAGCTGTGAAACCTAAGGACCTCTCTCTTTGCTGTTTTCTCTGCTTTCCTCTGCCCTGAGTACTCAAACAGGGTCTTTGGGGAGCCGCGCTGACACAAACCAGCGTTTAAAACCAGGCATAAAAGAAACAACCAGCAGAGCCTAATGTCACAGCTATCATTATCACACAAAGGGAAGCGGCGCCCGACTGTTCTGAATGCCCCCTGCCTTTTTGATTCTGCACATCTGGAGCAGAATTCTGTCAGAGTTAAGTGTGTTGGACATTAGTCAACCATGTGAGATACAACATTTTGTGGAAACCTCAACCTTTTGACACGCAGGAAGTGGAGATCTGGGGGTAGATGGGTGTGGGCACAGGGAATTAACTATGACATTTTTCTGTTTTGGCCCAACATTGTATTTAGTCCAACCGTTTCCATGACACAGTTAACGAATACAGCTGCTTTGAGAATGTGATTGCAGTAAAAATGTGTTCATTTTTTATGATGCAAGTTTGAAATACCTCTTAAATATAGTTATCAAGACTTTTTTTTAATTATCAACATCGCAACTCGATCTTCAGCCTGTCCATCTGTTGAAGCAGCTGTTCTGCCGTTCTTTGCGCCCTAATTTTCTCCTGAATATTTTATAAGTGGGTAAATAAGAAACACTTTGTCAAAGTGTGTTGAAAACTGCACTAAGATAAAAAGTTTCTAATTGAGCTGATTTATTCTTTCTCATCAGGTTGTGAACCTAAAAGATGCAATCCTCAAAACCCCTGACTGCTGATGTCAAGTAGTTTTGGTTTGTGGCCAAATAACCAGCACATTTAAATAAAAGTTAAAAAAGCAGGTTTTGGTTTATATCTTAATATATAAAGTTGCATTAATTTGACAGCTGTACCTAAAGGCAGGGTGTTGCTATATGCAGAGCCTTTGCTTAGTGTTCTAGAGCGAGAATGACTCTCAGGTTGTACTGGTGATGTTCCAGCCTGGGTGCAGTGCATGCAGTGTCTCATCATCTTGCAGAGCTTTGTAGGAAGTCAGATGTGTGGTTTTGTTTCCCACGCTGCTTTAAATACACGCTATTTTTCACACTTCAGTCGCCCATCTACTTGTGGTCCTTGTTTTTGCCTTTAAGGGAAGTAGCGCTGGTCTTCGTGCTTTCTTACCAGCGAGGTGTCTTGCAGAGAACTGGGTGTTAAATATATTGCTGTTTTGCAAAAGCAGATTTGAAGATAAGCTGAGAGATTATTTAGGACGACCGTTCGATGGAGTTTAGTGATGCATGTGAAACTAGTTTAAACAAATGCATTTTAGAAAAGCACATTTAATATTTGATAAGCGTGCAGTACTGTGCAAAAACATGAGTGATTCTGGTGCAGTGGTAGGATAGCTGTCTTGGGATCAGAAAGCCACAGGTTTGATTCCCCGCCATGCCAACATGTTATGAAGCACGCGAAGAAGACCATAATCCCTAACTGATCTCCGATACCTGCCTGCTGCTCCACATGTGTGTATCCACCTAGTGCAGGGCTATTCAACTAAATTGCTTCAGGGGCCATAGATAATGCAGACCAACAGCTCAGGGGCCGAACATCCAGCAATTAAAGTTGTTATGTAAATAAACTAAATATTACAAAGATCTGTTACCTTTGAAATAATTTATTTTGCTGTATTTAATCATGAAAACATACAGAACCCTATTTAATAAATGTAGTGATGATAAAACAAAAAAAAAGAAACATATTATGCCTCTTACCACAAAATATTTTGACATCTCTGACTTGCCAAATTTTTTAAAATAATTTATTTTCACTTTCATAGTTTTATCTTCAACTGCTTGTAGTTTTAGCTGTCTTGGATAATCATAGAAATGTTTTTTTTTTTTTTTACCAGTTTGTAGCCATGATTATGATGTTTCTCTAGATACCAAACATGTGCATGTTTAATTAAAATAACTTAGAGTTATTAAAGTAGAAAACCGGAGGGTTGGGCTTAACAGATGAGTGAACCCATTGGC